ATTAGGATAGGGGGAACCTACTCCTAGTAGGAGTAGGATTCCCCCCCTTGGGGCGCGCCCCTTGAGGCCAGCCGGCCCCCTCCTCCCCTCCTTTATATACCGGGGAGGGGGACCCCATAGACACACCAGTTGATTTCTTAGCCGTGTGTGGTGCCCCTCTCCACATATTTCCACCTTAGTCATATTGTCGTAGTGCTTAGGCGAAGCCCTGCGTCGGTAACTTCATCATCACTGTCACCACGTCGTCGTGCTGACGAAACTCTCCCTCGGCCTCAGCTGGATCTAGAGTTCGAGGGACGTCACCGAGCTGAACATGTGCAGATCGTCGAGGTGCCGTGCGTTCGGTACTTGATCGGTTGGATCGTGAAGACGTTCGACTACATCAACCGCGTTACTAAACGCTTCCGCTTTCGGTCTACGAGGGTACGTAGACATACTCTCCGCTCTTGTTGCTATGTATCTCGTAGATAGATCTCGCGTGATCGTAGGAAATTTTTTGAAATACTGCGTTCCCCAACACATTAGTAACCGCAAAATCAAGAAGCACAATTTTTTTGCCGAAGCACAAAAAGCTTGCCAAAGAGGATATTGAGAGGGCATTTGGTGTGTTGCAAACTCGGTTTGTCATTGTTTGAGGTCCTGCTTGCTTCTAGGATAAAAAATCCCTTCGAAATATCATGATTGCATGTATGATTTTATACAACATGATCGTCGAGGATGAGAGAAACTTGAACCTGGACTACAACTATGTCAATGTTGGTAGCCGTGCTTTTCGGGCCAGGGATGCTGATGAGATCAGTGCATCTCTTGAGACCTACCGAAAGATTGAGGACCGTGAGTCACATAACCAACTTCAATATATAGAGGATTCCTTAAAGGTGAAACATAATGAAGACATAGGCGCGTGGCCAGAAACGGTCAACGCATCCCGAAGTAATGGAAGGATCATTGTTATTGTTATCAGAACTCAAATTTGATAAATGAGCTGCCATGTCTAGCGTGTCAGTGCTGAGCCGCCATTGCAATTGCAAGGATCATCGTTACTTACTTCAGCCATTTTTAGTCGGCAAATAAGTTTTGTCTCAAGTCAAAGTATCTATAATTTGACTAAGCTTAAGCATAATATGAACATTCACAGTACAAAATTAATATCGTTACATTTATCATGGAATTTAGTTTTATATTATATATATTTGATATGGTAAATGCTGATGTTTTTAAGATAAATTTTGTCACACTTTGCAAAATTTAACTTAGAGAGTAAAGACTGGAGGGAGTACTATTATCAGAACTTAAACAGTTCTCCCCGACAGCTTGCCACCAGCAGAAGTTAGAAAAGAGTATATAAATTGTCCTCGCATAGTGACATAGATACTCTATTCAGTTTTTATTGTTTCAACTTTCAAGTCAAATTTTGTACACTTTGCTCAAAGTTTATAAAAATATATTAACACCCACAATACCAAATCAATACAAATAGAATCAACATTAGACACATTTTCGCATTATACTCTCTGTTCACTTTTATAAGGTCTTGAAGGTATTTCAAACAGCATGCAAAGAAGCCCATTTTTAGTTGTCTGAAACGACTTATAAAAATGAACGGAGGGAGTATTATTTTCCATACGAACTTTATAAATTTTGGCTTAAATCGAAGATTTAGTTTACCCAAATTCTGTTGCTTTAGGGTGTGTGATTGGCTTAGAAGAGTAATTCGGTCGTCCATGTTCAACTGAACGAATGTGCTAGAAACTGATAGCTGAAAAGACAGAGGAAGGTAAAATAGAAGAGGCGACGATATGTGCAATTCTCGACCAAACAAGTAGCTGCGTCAATCCTTTGGTTGATGATCCTCCATCCCCCTCTCTATCCAAAGCAAAACCTTCAGGCCTTTCGAACTGAATTTTGCTTTCGATATCGTCCTGAATGCAGAGATACCCTAAACTGACGCGCACACGGATGATTTGCCGACAGGTAATAGACAGAAAATTTGGAAACAGACGGAAGAGCACACAAGTTGATCAGCCAAGAGATTGAAGGCGAGTTAAGGGTAAATAACAGCGATTTAATCCATTCCAGCGAACAGGCACCACACATCATAAATTACATCAATTACCATGAACACTGACAACGCCTAGCTACTGCTAATCTGATCAAGTGGTGCAAGCTGGATTCGCCTCGCCGGAGCCTAGCCCCCGAAACCGTAGAGGGTGCGTCCCTGGCGCTTGAGGGCGTAGACGACGTCCATGGCGGTGACGGTCTTGCGGCGGGCGTGCTCGGTGTAGGTGACGGCGTCGCGGATGACGTTCTCGAGGAAGATCTTGAGCACGCCGCGGGTCTCCTCGTAGATGAGCCCCGAGATGCGCTTCACGCCGCCCCGACGCGCCAGCCTCCGGATCGCCGGCTTGGTGATGCCCTGGATGTTGTCGCGGAGGACCTTCCGGTGGCGCTTGGCGCCGCCCTTGCCGAGCCCCTTGCCTCCCTTGCCGCGCCCCGACATCTTCTCGCTTCTCTCTCTTCTTCTCCTGGGTGAGGTTGACCTGTCTTTCTTTGTGAGGTAGGTGGTGGCTGCGGTGGCTGATGGTTGTGGCGTGTGGACTTGGTGCGATTTATAGCCGCGCGGTTTGGGGGCAGGGAGCGGCCGCGATCCGCGTGATGCGGGGTGCGAGCCGTCGGATGGGGGATCGATGGAGGGGAGCGGGGGAGGAGGGGCGCCGCGGATCGGTGACGTGGCGGGAGGTTGTGTTTCTTTTCTGAGGAGGAGGCGGGATGCGAGGATGGGGCGTGCGCCTCGGCAGGTTTCTGGCAGGTGGGACCGGACGGGTTTTGGATGGATTTTTCCTGCGCGGGCCGGTGCTCGCTGCCGCGAAATTTCGGATGGATTTCTGACCGGTGGGCCCGTGAGGCGTGGTTTGGAAGGCGTAAACTCGGGCCGTTGCCGAGACAATTCGGAAAACATATCTCTCTATTTTCCACGATCAGTTGATATATAGATACCGCTCAAAGAAAAAGTTGATATGTGGGTGTTTTCTTTAGAGCAGCGATTCGGTGCCCAGTTGATATACAGGTGTTTCTTTAAGAAACATACTTATCATATGGTTAAATGGGCTAAGGTTTGTCGCTCTAAAAAAATTGGTGGGCCGGGATCAAAGATCTCCATAAGCAAAATATTAGAACAACTCTAGCAGACCGTGCACCCCGCCCCGGCCCATAAAATAACCACCAAATTACAGGTCGGGGCCGGAAAATCTGCACGATCAGACCCCGCATCTCGTCCCGGCCTGTAAATATTTTTGCGGGGCGTGGCAAATCTTCTTCCCCAACCTCTATCTTCACGGGTTGGGAGGCCGGCCCGAGCTCAACCCCTATCCGCCGCGAGATTTGGCGGGAGGAACATTTCCGCGCGCCCTTTCCCGCTCCCCGCACCCTCCGCCACCATTGCCCCCCTCCACAAGCTCTGGTTCCTCCTCCCCGGCCATCCCTCGCCGCCATGGACGACCTCGTGATGTCCCCCATCACCGTCGAGGTCGCGCACGCTCCTTCCCCTCGGGCGGATCTCGTCGCCGGCCATATTGGTGTCGCCGCCGTCGCCCAAGCACACGCCGCGCCTGCCCGCAAGCGGCAGGGCAACGTGGTCGTGCAGGGCAGAATCCGGCTGCCCCCGTCGCGATGGCCCGTGCTCCGGGCGCCAACGCGGCAGCGCGATGCCGTTCAACGGTGTCGCTCCCCTCCACACACACGAGCGAGGCGTTCGACGAAATGGCCGGAAGGTATGCGTCTTCGGTCGGTGATTTCCTTTCGTTTCCGCCATTAATTTTCGATAGCTCATGACTTGTTATCGTTCGCTACAGCGGTGGTTCGAACAATGCAACAACCGAGTTCGTGAACTTGTTGGACACGAACGCGATTGACATTGATCAAGCCCCTTTCGAACCGTTCGACTACAATGAAACAGAGGGCGGCGTGGATGATCATGGTTGTGCGGACGAATAGGAGGAGATTGAAGCGGAAGCGTATGAGCAATCGCAAGCAAAAACTGGGAAAAGCCAAAGATCGAAGAACTACACGATCTTGAAAGATCAAGCTTTGATCCAAGCATGGAGCGCAGTGTCTCTTGATGCATGCACGGGTACTTCTCAAACCGCCAAGAGATGTTGGCAATGGATCGGAGATCAATACTTCTACATTATGGCAAAGCATCCCAATAGGACTCCACGCACATTTCGGTCGCTTCAAGGATGTTGGGAGGATATCAAGCCTATGTGCAGCCGTTGGGCAGCTTGCTTGGAGCAAGTACGCAATGCACCTCCAAGTGGCACCGTGGAATCCGACTATGTGAGTTTGTTTTGCCTTTGTTCAAGTTATGCATCATCATATTGCATCATGGGAAATGATTGGATCACTTTGTCCTCGTAGTCGAAGAGCAAGACGACGGCGGTCCTCCTGGGCGCCTCGGTTGGTCGTGGGGAGGCCGGCGGCCACGTGCTTCGCGCGTCGGGGGGCGCGGGGGCGGCGACGCGGGGGAGCAGGGGCGGCGGCGCAGGGGAGCCGGAGCGGGTGTGGCGAGGGATGGAAGGGGATCTGGCGAGGAAGAGGGAAGGAGGTATCAGGTGAAGGGCCGGGTATCCAGCTATAGAGGGGGGAATGTTAGTAATGACGCACCGACGAGGGGTGCGCCATAAAAACACTCATAGCAATGGCGCACCATTCTCTGGTGCGCCATTAATAACTTTTTTCTGATAGCAATGGTGCACCCTCCTTTGGTGCGCCATTAGTAACTTCTTTTTTTCATTATTTCTTGTTGCATCTAATAATTTGTTTTTTATCAAATTTGTTATTTTCATGAGGACTAGAACAAAATATATCATCAAATATCATCAAATTTGTTTTTTTAATATCATCAAATTTGTTTTTTATTTTTAATTGAAAATATCATCAAATTTGTTATTTGAAAATATTATCAAAAAGCGGGGGAGGGTGCGGGGTGTCGGCGGCCGCGGTGGAGCGGGCCGGGGGAGGGTGTAAGGGGTCGGCG